ATGTATTTTAATTTTAAAATATAAAGCCAAAAGGTAGAAAGAAGCCTTTGAATATGAAGAATACTTCATATTCAAACTTTAAACAGTAATATTTTCAAGAGTAGAGAAATATTCCCACAGGCTAACACTGCTTTTTCTCGTCTGATTTCTTTTCTTTTCATTCTCAAGTTTAGATAACCTCAAACCTGAAAACAAAATACCATCTTAAGAGGTGAAGTTGCATTAAAAAGTGTTACTCTATGAAGTTCTTTCTCCTGGAGAGATCAAATTCTGGACTCAGAGAGATAAATCCACATCTTTGTGAACTGCTGCTGTTTAACTGTGGGTAGAGCATAAAGTAAAATTTGTTGCCTGGTGTGTTTTCATGTGGTAATTTTCTTAATATGATATAATGAGATGTAGTTTATATTTCTCTATTAAAAGTAAAACAACCAATTAAGAAGCTTTTTGCTAAAAAAAAACACCTTCATTTTTGTGTGTGATGTGTTGTTGGCCCTGATGAAACAGAAAGTCCTCGTGTTTTCTCTAATCTGACTTCCAGGTAGTCTCTATTCTGGGCCCAGAGGCCTTATTACCTAAATTCTGCCTCCCTTTGTGCCATGGAGTGTTTAGGTGTCCATGGCCCTGCAGTTTTGTGTGTTTGCCAAATAGAGTTTGTTACTACCTTGGGCTGCTCTTCCTAAGACAGTTAATTAGGCTTCTCTAGAGCATTCTCTTAGGATTGTCCCTAGGGTTTATGCTGTTCCCATCATATGACAAATTCTATTTACCCCTCTAGACTGACTAGATCTTACAAGACCTTTAAACCACAGATTATCTCACATTTTCCAGGAAGTCAGCTTTATAAATTACAGTTTTCAGGATCTGTCTCTCTCTCTCTCTCTCTAACTCCCTCTCTCTTCGTGAACAATACTTATGTACACTCAATTATGCCAGTCCTTTCTTATTCATTTTATAGTCGTGTATTTATCTCTCTCTACCTCATATATAAATGTATTTTTTCATAAGATTATACTCACCTATTTTCAGAATGCAGTTGACAATGGGTAACTGAAACCATGGAAAGTGAAACTGTGGGTAACGGGAGACTACTGTATATAAAAGATGTTATTAAACAATGCATTGCATCCAAGGATCATTAGAGTTCTTGTTATTGGGTTATTGTTA